TGAATGGTACAGCTGGAATTAGAATATAGACCTAAATTTAGTTTTGCCTTACCCTTCTTAGATGTAACACCTGACTTTCATTTCCTTGAGGATCCAAATTTACTTTTCAGATACGCATTCTCTTTGTCTCTCATAGTAGAAGAGGTTTGTGAATAATAGAGCTAAGGAGAGGCAGTATGTCCTCAAGTGTTAGCATGCCTCAGAATCACCTATAGGGCTTGTTAAAACAGATTTTGCCCCCCCTCTTCTCTTCCTCACCCTCCTCAAAGATTCTTTGATTTAGAAGATCTGGAGTAAGCCCTGATAATTTGCATTTCTAACAAATTCCCAGGTGGTGCAGATGCTGCTCGTTCAGGGACCACACTTTGAGAACCAGTGCTTAAAAGCAGGCATACTCTTTGAAGTCAGTCACTCCCAGGTCCAATCTCTGGATCTACGATTTACTGCTGTGTGACCCAGATCAAGTTTTTTAACTGATATGTTTCAGATTCCTGTACTATAAAATGGGAATAATAATATTTATTTCACAGGGCCATTATAAGAAATAGATTAGTTAATATAATAAAAAAGTTTGGCATACTGCTTGCTACATAGTAGACACTCAATAGATGGTTTCTGTTGTTATTTATAATAAGCCTGGGACCCAGTGAAATGTTTATGAACCATAAATTCAGTCAGTATTTTAGAGTAGATGCCCAGAGACTTTCTGTCACTTTGAGATGCTGTCAGGACACAGACACACAGACACATTCATATATACAAACACAAACACATTCTTGCTTGACTCTCTTCGTATTTATGGTAGACTTGAAAGAAGAGTAAGAGAGCAGAAGTGACAAATTGGTAAAGAGATTCCACTTCCAAGATTGGATTTATCTATAGTTTATTTTTATTACTCTCAGCTTCTATTGTGTATTGAAGTAAAGGTGGACACTATAAAAAAAAGAGCATATTTCAAGGTATGTGACATAGCTGCCAGTTGCTAAGACGGAACTGCTGGTTAATGTGTACATGTGTTGTATGGTGGGAAAAGGGGAGCCTAAGAGACATCGGAGATGACACAGGTGGAGGGGAGAAGTCTGTATGAAAGATTCTTTTAATGTATTTTTTTTAAATTTTATTTTTTTTTGGCTGTGTTGTGTCTTCATTGCTGCACAAGGGCTTTCTCTAGTGGCAGCGAGCAGGGGCTACTCTTCGTAGTGGTGCGCAGCCTTCTCATTGTGGTGGCTTCTCTTGTTGCTCTAGGCATGCTGGCTTCAGTAGTTGTGGCACACAGCCTCAGTAGTTGTGTCCCGCGGGCTCTAGAGCACAGGCTCAGTAGTTGTGGTGCACAGGCTCAGCTGCTCCGCGGCATGTGGGATCTTCCCAGATCAGGGATTGAACCTGTGTTCCCTGCATTGGCAGGTGGATTCTTAACCACCGCACCACCAGGGAAGTCCTGAAAGATTCTTTTGAACTCTGGATTGACCACATCAAGGGATAATCACAGTTCCTGATGGGGTCTGCAAAATGAAGTTATGGAGGTGTATCCCTGAGCTGACTTTCTCTGTATACATTATTATATAGAGACTATTCAAACCATTTTAGCAATTATTCATTTTCTAACTGTACAGGTACCATGTTAGGGGCTGCGGAGACTTAATTAAGCTCCAGAAGTGTGTGTAGAAGACATCAAAATTGACTTGAGCAGTTAAGTCATAACTTGGGCCTTTCAACCATGATTACACTTAAAACTTTTACGTTGTTTAATGGTCATTTGGTCAGCCTGTTTACAGTGGCATATGGGACTTGCAAAGGTAAACAAAACTTTCAATTCAGAGTTTTTTAAAAAACAACTAACTTAATATTTTTAAATTAATTTTTTAAAAGGTAAAAGGTATAGCTAATAAATACTTGAAAAGATGCTCAACATCATTAGCCAGTGAAATGCAAATCAAAATCACAGTGAGATACCGCTTCACACCCAGTAGGGTGGCTATAGTAAAAAAGATAGACAATAGCACGTGTTGGTTAGTATGTGGAAAAATTAGAATCCTCATATATTGCTGGTGGTAGTGGAAAAAGGTGCAGCTGCTATGGAAAACAGTTTGGCAGTTCCTCAAAAAATTAAACATGGAGTTATGGAATTAACCTAGCAATTCTACTCCTAGGTATACAACCTAAAGAATTCAAAATATGCTAACACAATAACCTGAACACAAATGTTCATAGTAGCATTATTCATACTAGCCAAAAAGGTAGAAATAACCCAAATGTCCATCAACTGATGAATTGATAATCAAAATGTGGAATATCCATACAATGGCAAATCTATTCAGCTGTAAAAAAGAATGAAGTGCTGGGACTTCCCTGGTGGCACAGAGATTAAGAATCTGCCTGCCAATGCAGGGACATGGGTTCGATCCCTGGTCCAGGAAGGTCCCACATGCCTCAAAGCAACTAAGCCCGTGTGCCACAACTACTGAGCCCACGCTCTAGAGCCCGCGAGCCACAACTACTGAGCTCATGCACCACAACTACTGAAGCTTGCACACCCTAGGGCCCACATGCTGCAACTACTGAGGCTGCATGCTACAATTACTGAAGCCCGCGAGCCTAGAGCCTGTGCTCTGCAACAAGAGAAGCCACTGCAATGAGAAGCCTGCACACCCCAATGAAGAGTAGCCCTCGCTCCCCGCAACTAGAGAAAGCCTGCGCGCAGCAACGAGACCCAATGCAGCCAAAAAAAAAAAGAATGCAGTGCTGATTCGTGTTACAACATGGTTATACCTTGAAAACAATGCTAAATGAAAAAAGCTGGGTACAAAAAACCACATGTTTTATGATTTCATTTATATGAAATGTCCAGAATAGGCAAATCTATATAGACTGAAAGTAGATTAATGGTTGCCAGAGACTGAGAGAATAGGGGGAGTGGGGAGTGACTACTAATGGGTATGGGGTTTCTTTTTAGAGTGATGAAAATGTTCTAAAATTGGATAATGGTGATAATTGCACAGCCTTGTGAATATACTAAAAACCACTGAATTGTACAATTGAAAAGGGTAAGTTTTATAGCATGTAAATTGTATCTCAAAAGAGCAAAACTAAAACATGTACCTACAGTGGGCATGAAGCATGAATGAGAAGTAAACTTTGTTGTCATAAAAAATAATTGTGGGAAGAGGAGCTAATTCATGGTTAGGAAAAGATTCTGTGGAGAAACAAACCATCCTTCTATTGGAGATTCATAATGCAGAGTAGCCGATCTGAAGTTCTGAAAGTCTTATGAAGATGGAAACTTATTTAGCTTCATTGAGCCAGTATCTCCCAAACATTTCATTATAAAAAACATTTATTCACGGCAATCATGTTGAACTAGTGTCCTAGAGAAGAGTGAATCTTGGTCTTGAGCATATGTATATAGGTGGATCACCTGGATTGTTTGTTAAAACAGATTCTGGGTCCCCACCCCAGAGATTCTGATTTCAGAGGTCTTGGCTGCAGGCTGAGAATTTGCATTTCTGACAAGCTCCCAGATGATTTTATCCTTCAGGTTTGAGAACTAAACTTTGAGTAGCATCTTTATAGAATAGTCAAATCCTGTACCTTAAATGGGTGAATTTTATGGCATGTGAATTATATCTCAATAAAGATGCTAAAAAATTTGATATACTAGAAATAGCACTACAATGTGGATTCTAGTGATTTTGTTAATGCAAGACAATGCTCTTTGAGTGATTTGTTTCCATTAAAAATTTCTTCATATATAAAATGAGTCACTGTTCTATGTATTACGTAGGGTTGTGGTGAAAATGAGGCAATGTACTCTTCCAAATTGTGTTCTGTAGATAAAAACATGTTACTTTAAAAAAAAGTCCATGGCCAGCTAAGTTTGGGAGTCTCTAAATTAATAATGCATATTCCAGTTTGATGGTCAGACCATTATTTTTGACTTGGATCCTAATATCACTCTCTCTATATAAAATCAATTAAGTATGAGCTTTTTATTCATTCTTATTCTTGTAGTAGATCCTCTGGAGCTACAAAGATCGTTATGAAGTAGAAGCTGAATAAGCAAGGTTTGAATAATATTGCGGGACCAACAATAGTTTTTCCTCTTTTGCTTCAATGCTGTTACATCCTGCTTGATATTTTATTGACCTATTTATCTGAAAAATTATTGGCCAAACAGAATTTTAACATAAGACTATTGGCTATGATAAAATAATGTCTAGGAAGGTTAAGAGAATACTTGTAGCTAGTTATTTGTCTCTTTTAATCAATTTATGTTCATAGAGCAACTTATTTTCAAAATTCGATTGAAGCTAATTTAAATATTATATCCAGAAATAATTTTGGCTCTTTAGTATTTTAATAGAGAAAAAAATAAATAGTTTTCCCTTTTCTCTTTTTTTAAAAAAAATATTTATTTATTTATTTGGTTGTGCCAGGTCTTAGTTGCGGCAGGCGGGCTCCTAGTTGCAGCTCGCCAGCTCCTTAGTTGCGGCATGTGGACTCCTTAGTTGCAGCATGTGAACTTTTAGTTGCAGCATGCATGTGAGATCTAGTTCCTTGACCAGGGATCAAACCCAGGCCCCCTGCATTGGGAGCGTGGAGTCTTAACCACTGTGCCACCAGGGAAGTCCCTCTTCTCCCTTTCTTAAACTTGGACTATTTATTTAAAAAAAAATTGAGTCCCTCATTACCGTCTTTATTTGAAGCTTTTATAATTAACCAAATGTTTTCTTATATTATATAAGCAGTTTAAACTTTAAATTTTTGTTTACTTGTCATTTTAATTTTAGCTGAAAAGCATTTCTTTCCTGATTTTCTTTAGTGATCTATTTTAAGCATTATTTTTGATGTTATAATCTATTTTTAACCCCTTTCCTAGAATTCTTTTGTTGAATTAAACTTCCTGAAATTAAATATATTATTAATGTGGCATTGGGAATGCATGTATATATAGTTTGAAAACATCTTTTCAGAACCTTAATATAATTGTACCTTTATTTCAGATGAAGTGGAGGACCATCCTACTACAATATTGTTTTCTCTTGGTTACATGTATACTTACTGCTCTTGAAGCTGTGCCTATAGACATAGACAAGACAAAAGTAGAAAATGCTCAACCTATGGACAGTGCAAAGATAGAACCACCAGTAAGTGAATGCTAAAGATAACCTTGTGGGAAGAATTTTAACTAAAATATTGCTAAGAATTTATTACTTATAAAATTGGACATTTAGGAACTATTTCTGAAATAGCAGTAAAAAGAGTATTGGATAAGCATATGTTCTTTAATATCAGGCAAAGTTTTTTTAATGTAGTTATATTAGATATAGGTATCTAATTAGTATATTAGTGTATAGAAGAATTAATCATAATACATTTCCAATGTAGAGATGACCAACCAAGAAAACGTATTATATTCAGAGAAGAGACAGATAACAATGAGGAGAGACAGGTGACAAGGGGGTAAAACCATTAGTATATTGGTTAAGTATTCATTGTCTAAGCCATATAGAAAATCTACCTTTATGTAAGAGTAAAACATGACATTGGTTCTGATACAACTCTCTTCATTTGAGAAATACAGCTTTTAACTTTGGCTGCCCAAACTATCAAACTAGGTATGTCTCAATGCCATTTTGCTAGACGGTTTTTTTTTTTAGGATTGAAATCTTTAGATACAGGAAAGGAAAAACTTTCAGAAGAGTTACTGTTTGTTTCTTAATTTGAAGGATACTGGACTTTATTATGATGAATACCTCAAGCAAGTGATTGATGTGCTGGAAACAGATAATCATTTCAGAGAAAAGCTCCAGAAAGCAGACATAGAGGAAATAAAGGTAAATGTAATTAAATAATTATTTAACAAACACTTGAGCATGCCAGACACTGAGCTAAGTATTGGGATTACAAAGATAAGACTCGGGACTTCCCTGGTGGCACAGTGGTTAAGAATCCACCTGCCAGTGAGGGGACACAGGTTTGAGCCCTGGTCTGGGAAGATCCCACATGCCACGGAGCAACTAAGCCCGTTTGCCACAACTACTGAGCCTGTGCTCTAGAGCCCGTGAGCCACAGCTACTGAGCCCACATGCCACAACTACTGAAGCCCACGCATCTAGAGCCCATCCTCCGCAGCAAGAGAAGCCACTGCAATGAGAAGCCCGCACACTGCAAGGAAGAGTAGCCCCCGCTTGCTGCAACTAGAGAAAGCCCGCACGTAGCAATGAAGACCCAATTCAACCAAAAATAAAAAAATAAATAATTTAAACAAACAAAAAACAAAGACTCATTCTTAGCCCTTAAAGAACCCTCAAGGGAGACTAATATCCAGGAAAAGATTACTAAGATAAATATATACTGAGCGTATAATACATTTTGGAGATACGGAGGATGGACACCTACTTCAGTAGGAAGCAGTGGGGGAAGGTGGGAAGTCTTTCTTCCTGGTAGAGATTATGCCTGTGCTTAAATATGCGGCTGAGAAAAGGAGAAAGACTGGGAGACATGCTAGGCCAAGGTACAAGGGAACAGAGACCGGAATATATAGGAACCTGGAAGGAGTAACTGTTGCTGGAACCTGGCCTGGGAAGTGGAGGCCATGACTGGCCAAAAGATGAGGTTGGAAAGGGTCATGGGCTAGATGACAGAGGGCCTTGTACATCATGGTAAGGGCCTTGAATCATGATATGAGGGCAGCAGGAAGCTATTCAAAGGTTTAGCACAGGTTTAGTTCTGGTGTTTTAATCAGGTCCAGATTAATAGAAGACGTAATGGGCCATATCTTATCTCAATAGGGGAGGTTTAATTATTTGTCTCTGTCCTAAGAACCCTATTTATTTGACATTATCCTAGCCCTAGACATCTCCTTCGTATTCACAATAAAGAAAGAAGGTAGTAAAAACCAAGATCTGACGTGAGAGATTCTTTTAAAGCCCTCCCTTGAAGGGTAATGAATCCACTTAGTTGGGTTTATCTTAGAGTCAGCAATAAACAAAAAATTCCAATGATTTAATTTTAAACTTTCAGTTATAACTCTCAAGAAAGTTTTATTGGTTTGCTTATGTTATTTTTGTTTATCTGTTTTTAACTTTCGTAAAAAGTTATCTTACCTGGAACTTTGAAGGAAAATTTCTGAATCAAACATCCTTATTTTAGTCTCTGTCCCTGGTCTGGGCCCCTGTGATAGTCTGACCCACATTAGGTTGTGGCCACTATCAGAACCTGTGTGTGGCTTTTATTTATTTTATTTTATTATTATTTTTTAAAATAAATTTATTTATTATTTATTTTTGGCTGTGTTGGGTCTTTGTTGCTGCACATGGGCTTTCTCTAGTTGCCGTGAGTGGGGGCTGCTCTTCGTTGAGATGTGTGGGCTTTACATTGTGGTGGCTTCTCTTGCTGCAGAGCATGGGCTCTAGGCGCTTGGGCTTCAGTAGTTGTGGCACTCAGGCTCAATAGTTATGCCTCACGGGCTCTAGAGCACAGGCTCAGTAGCTGCGGCGCACGGCCTTAGTTGCTCCGTGGCATGTGGGATCTTCCCAGACCAGGGCTCAAACCCGTGTCCCCTGCACTGGCAGGTGGATTCTTAACCACTGCACCACCAGGGAAATCCCTGTGTGTGGCTTTTAGTTCACAGCTGTCCTCTTGGAGGCTGTGAATTTTTCTGGGAGAATGGTAACAGCCTTATGCCAATAATTCCCTTGAATTATCTTTATTTTATTTTATTTTATTTTTTTGAATTATCTTTTTTTTTTTTTTTTTTTTGGTTCGCGGGCCTCTCACTGTTGTGGCCTCTCCCGTTGCGGAGCACAGGCTCTGGACGCGCAGGCTCAGCGACCATGGCTCACAGGCCTAGCCACTCCGCGGCATGTGGGATCTTCCAGGACTGGGGCACGAACCCGTGTCCCCTGCATCGGCAGGCGGACTCTCAACCACTGTGCCACCAGGGAAGCCCTGAATTATCTTTTTTTAATTGAAGTATATTTGACATACAGTATTATATTAGTTTCATATGTACAACATAGTGATTTGACTTTTGTATACATTGTGAAATGATCACCACAATAAGTCTATTAACCATCTGTCACCATACAAAGTTAATACAATATTATTGACCTCATGCTGTACATTACATCCCCATGACTTATTTATTTTATACCTTGAAGTTTGTACCTCTTTATCCCCTTCACGCATTTCACTCCTCCCCCAACTCCCTCCACTCTGGCAACCACCAATTTGTTCTCTGTATCTATGAGTCTGTTTTTTGTTTGGTTTAGTTGGTTTGTTTGTTCTGTTTTTTTAGATTCCACATATGTCATGTGGTATTTGTCTTTCTCTGTCTGACTTATTTCACTTAGCATGGTATCTACAGTCCCCTGAATTGTTTTGAGAATAATCTCGTGTTTCTTTGAAAAATTCACTTGAGCTGTGGGACTAATTTCCTGGGATGAATAATATTTAATGTAGAACTTTCAATGTCTCTTATTTACTTCAGTTAGGACTAAGAGCGTTATTTGGGGGCTAACAGACAATGTGGGTAATGGGAGTTACTATATAGAGATAATCAGGGAAAAGAAAACAAGCTTGCCTTCTTCGGTATAGGAGAATACTTTTATAACTGTCTTCCTTTCACAGTCAATTCCTATTCCCTATGGGGTTGCGTGGGGGGAGACACAATGAAGTAAGTTAAACAGTTGTTTAATGAAAAAGAAATTGAGTAAAAATAGACAATAAAAATCAAGCCGACAGAATCATTACAAACAGCTGAGCAAAGACTCCTGTCTCAGGAAAAACTGGAAAAAAAAAAGAAGTTGTCCTTTGTTGTCAGCTAAGCATTTTGAAAGGAGAATCATACTGTTTCTTCACTTACCAAACATTGCTAACTGGGAAGATTATGGCTTCACCCACACCACTTCCCTGAATGTACTTTTGTGAAGGATGTCAGTTGACTTCCTTATTTTTTTTTTAATTAAAAAAAATATTTATTTATTTGACTGCACCGGGTCTTAGTTGCGACATGCAGGATCTTTAGTTGCAGCATGCGGGACCTAGTTTCCTGACCAGGGATCAAACCCAGGTCCCATGCACTGGGAGCATGGAGTCTTAACCACTGGACCACTAGGGAAGTACCTGTCAGTGATTTCTTAATTGCCAGATCTAGTGAGCACCTTTTATTCCTCTTCTTACTGGACTCCTTTATTTTATCTCAGTGGTTCTCAGATTTTAAATTGTTAAAACAGATTTCTGGGCCCCACCTCCTGACTTTCTGATTCAGTAGGTCTAGAGCCTCCATATCTAAAGTTCCCAGGTGATGTTGATGCTTCCACTTTAGGACCACATTTGAGAACTATTGTTTTATCTAATAATAATGACCATTCTCTCCTTGAAATGTACTACTCTTTTTGCTTCTATAACAGCATATTCTCTTAGCTCTCCTTCTCCCTCTCTGAACATTCTTTCTTGGTCTTGCTTGAGGCGTTTCTTTTCCTTCCCTTCCTCCCCCTTGACTCAGTCCTGAAGGGTCTGTGTGCCTGATTGCTAGTTAGACTTGCAGTTTCTGATTGAAAATGCATTTTTAAACAAGAGAAGGTAAACCACTAGCTATTTTGTCTCTTAAATTTTGGAACATGTATAGAATTACTCATCTATGAAAGAAAGTAATCAAAGGAGACAACCTAAAAAAGATGAATTTTGAAAAGTTATTTATATATGGAATGACTAAAGCTTAAGGAGGCCACATTACTTTAAAAAAAACTTTATTGAAATATAATTCACATACCATAAAATTTGCCCCTTTAATGTATACAATTCAGTGGTTTTATTATATGTACAGAGTCATGTAACCATCACCACTATCTAATTTTAGAACAATTTTATTTCCCCCCAGAAGGAACCCTGTACCCATTAAGCAATCACCCCCCCTTTCCTTTCTCTCCTCAGCCCCTGGCAACCATTAATCTACTTTCTATATCTGTGCATTTGCCTATTCTAGACATTTCATATAAATGGAATCATACAAAATTTGGCCTTTTGTGCCTGGCTTCCTTGACTTAGCATAATGTTTTCAATGTTCATCACGTTGTAGCATGTATCGGTGTATTCATTCCTTTTAATGGCTGAATAATATTCCACTGTATGGATATTCCATATTTTATCAATTCATCAGTTGATGGACATTTGGGTTATGTCTACTTTTTTGGCTCGTATGAATAATGCTGCTATGAACATTCATATTTAAGACTTTATGTGAGTACTTCCCTGGTGGCGCAGTGGTTAAGAATTCTCCTGTTAATGCAGGGGACATGGGTTCGAGCCCTGGTCCAGGAAGATCCCACATGCTGCGGGATGTGCCAGTATGCCACAACTACTGAGCCTGTGCTCTGGAGCCAGTGAGCCACAACTACTGAGCCTGGGTGCCACAACTACTGAAGCCCATGCGCCTAGAGCCCGTGCTCCACAACAAGAAAAGCCACAGCAATGAGAAGCTTGCGCACTGCAACAAAGAGTAACCCCCACTCACCACAACTAGAGAAAGCCCGAGTGCAGCAACAAAGACCCAGTGCAGCCAAAAATAAAATATAAATAAATAAATAAATTTATTTTTTAAAAAAGACTTTATGTGAACATATGTTTCAACTCTTTAGGTATATACCTAGGAATGGAATTGCGGGGTCATATGGTAACTGTGGGTTTAACTTTTTGAGGAACTGTCAAAATTGTTTTCCAAAGTGGCTGCACCATTTTGCAATTTAAGTTACTTTTTGAGTTTCTTCTTTGTGCTTTAATTATGCTTTTCTAAATTATATGGTTTTTAGACATCTTGATTTTAGAGTTACAAACTGAATATCTTCTGAAAGAAATGCTGTTTGTAATGTCAAATTTATCTAAAATAGTCAAATGTATCACTACTTTATTATAACCCTATTTTTAATATATTGTGTCTTATCTAAAAATGCAGTGGAATAGATAAAATTAATTTATTATTTTTGTTAACAGAGTGGGAGGCTAAGCAAAGAACTGGATTTAGTAAGTCACCATGTGAGGACAAAACTTGATGAACTGAAAAGGCAAGAAGTGGCAAGGTTAAGAATGCTGATTAAAGCTAAATTGGATTCCCTTCAAGGTAAGTGCTAAAGAAAAGGCAGGAAAATTCCAATATTTGGTTGTTAAGGTAAGTTTACAGACCATGTTCCTATAGTCAACATTTAATGTTAGTATTGATTTGGCTTCTCTTATTTTTTAAAAAATTTATTTATTTATGGGCTTCCCTGGTGGCGCAGTGGTTGAGATTCCGCCTGCCGACGCAGGGGACACGGGTTCGTGCCCTGGTACGGGAAGATCCCACATGCCACGGAGCGGCTGGGCCTGTGAGCCATGGCCGCTGAGCCTGTGCATCCGGAGCCTGTGCTCCACAACGGGAGAAGCCACAGCAGTGAGACGCCCGCAAGCAAAAAAAAAAAAAAAAATTATTTATTTATTATTTATTTAGGCTGCACCGGGTCTTAGTTGCGGCACTCGGGATCTTCATTGCGGCATGCGGACTTCTTAGTTGCGGCATGTATGTGGGATCTAGTTCCCTGACCAGGGATCAAACCCAGGCCCCCTGCATTGGGAGCATGGGGTCTTACCCATTGGACCACCAGGGAAGTCCCACCTTCTCTTAATTTTTAAAATTTAATTTTTTGAATAGGTTATATATTCATGTCATTCAAAAATCAAAATGATTAGCCTTAAATAATTATATCAGTAAAAAGGAAGAATGAAAAATAATGAATTAAGCCACTGATTTAAAAGAGGAAAAATAACATCAAAGCAAACCAAAAGAAAGTAGAGAGAGAAAATCTAATTAGAACAATTTCCATAGATGAAATAGAACAATCGTCAGAGCTAGCTCCACAGAAACACCAGGTTCAGATAGTGCCAAAGGGAATTCCACCAAACCATTAAAGATCAGATTGTCAGTGCTATTTAAAGTATTCCAGAGCATAGATTAAGAAGGAAACTTCCACACTCTTATTATGTGTTGATGCCAAAGCCAAAATTATTGGACGTTAAAAGAATATTCTGTCATAGCAAGTGGATTTATTTCAGGAATGTGAGATTAACTTAATTTTAGGAAATCTAATGCTGTAAATTATCATATGAATAGATATAAGAAGAAAGAAATTTTTGGTGTGACAAGAGAAATTATAAAGTCAAAGGACAAATAATGAATCAGAATAAATCTTTGAAATTTGTATTTTTTTAAAATTAAGACAATTTTTTTAGTGCAATATAAGGTTCACAGCAAGATTGAGGGTAAGGTATAGAGATTTCCCCTACACCCCTGTCCCCAAATGTTCATAGCCTCCCCCAATACCAACATCTCCCAACAGTGTGGTACATTTGTTACAATTGATGAACCTACACTGACACATCATAATTACCCCAAATCCATAGTTTATATTAGAGTTCACTCTTGGTGTTGTACATTCTATGGGTTTAGGCAAATTTATAATGACATGTATCAACTGTTATAGCATCATACAGAGTAATTTCACTGCCTTAAAAATCCTCTGTGCTCTGCCTATTCATCTTTCTATATTCTTTTAATTTTAGACTATGAGAAGATTAAATAGCTATGAAGCAGAGTTTTTGAAATGTGAAGATATCTTAAAGAGAGTAATCTCATTGTTCATATGACATCTCCATATATTCAGAAAAGGCATTTGACAAAAATTAACACCCCTTCTTAATTTTAAAAAAGTAATAAAATAGTAATCAATAGATACTTCTGTAACATGACCAGATATGTCCAACTCAGCTACACATTGGGGAAACACAAATATATTTTCTCACTAAAATCAGAAACAAAACAATGATGCTCACTGTCACCACTACTAATTAATATTGTTTTGGAGGTACTAGCCAAAGCAATTATACAAATGAAAAAATTGGAGGTAAAATAATTGCAAAGTAGGGGATAAAGCCATCTCTATTTGCAGGTAATATAATTATTCACTTGGAAAACTGAAAGAACTTGTCTGAAAAACTTAGTATATACAAAAGGAAAATTCAGCAAGGTAAACAATATACAGAAATCAGTGTTTTTCATATGTACAAACAACAGCCAGTTAGGAGATATAATGGAAGAAAAGACTCCATTTATGATACCAACAAAGATAAAACACCCAGAATAAACCTATTAAGAAATGTGCAAAACTTACAGATAAAAACTTTAAAATGCTCCTGAAGAACACGAAAGTAGACTTGAAAAAAGGGGAAGACATAACATCTTTTTGATACAAAGACTCAACATTATGAACATGTCAGTTCTTCTTAGGTTAATTTACAAATTTAACATGATCCAAATAAAAAGATGTACTTTTTTCCCCTGGTACTAGCCAAGTTAATTTTAAAGTTCATATGAAAAGGGAAATGAGCAAGAAAAGCAATGTGCCTCTGAAGAAGAACAAAGAAGAAGGACTAGATATATTAGATATTAGAATATATCACTAAGCCTCAGACATTAGAACTCTATGGTTTTGTCATGTAGGTAGAAAGACCAGTGGAACAAAATAGAAATTCCAGGAATAAAATTAAATACATATGGAATTTAGTTTGAATTAAAGGTGGTATCTCATTATTAGTGAGATAAAGATTAAAAAAAATAAGTAGTCTTAATAGAGTTGGATAGCCATTTGGAAAAAGGTACAGTTAGGTTTATATCTCATATACATCAGAATAAGTGCTTATATAAATCAAAGATTTAAGTGTAGAAAATAAAACCATAAAAGCAACAGTTGACAATATAAGTGAATTCCTTTATTGTCTTGGAATGGCCTTTCTAATTATGAATCAAAATCCAAGGGCCAGCTTTGGCAAGTGGTAGACCCTTCAGGCTGGCTCCTGTGTCCTTGTAACGTGCCCCCATAGGTTGGTTATCTGGGTGGTTCATTGTCATCAGTAAATATCTGAATACTTACTAAGGGTGGAATAGCAGTTCTTAAACTTCAGATTGCATAAAACTCACCTTAGGGAGCTAGTTAAAAATGCAGATTACTGGATCTCACCTCCAGATACTCTGATTCTAGGGATGAGTAATCTGCATTTTTTTAATTTTTAAAAATAGTTACTTATTATTTATTTATTTTTATTTTGGCTGTGCTGGGTCTTAGTTGCGGCATGCGGGCTTCTTAGTTGCTGCATGCAAACTCTTAGTTGCTGCATGCAAACTCTTAGTTGTAGCATACATGCAGGATCTAGTTCCCCGACCGGGAATCAAACCTGGGCCCCCGCATTGGGAGCATGGAGTCTTACCCACTGGACCACCAGGGAAGTTCCTGCATTTTAAACATGTACCTCTGGTCAATGGATCATATTGGAGAAATTGTGTAGAGCAGTAAACTCTCTGCTGGTGAAAAGACTTAGAAAACAAGTACCAAATACTCTTTATCCTGAAACTAAGGATATCAATGAGAGGTAAATTAACTCATACCATCCTACTTCAGCTGGTCAGACACACAAGGTAATTCCATCCTTGAAGCCAGGCCTAAGGTGGTTTGAGATTTCTTTGCCCTTAGACAACTTCCATCCCCTTAATCTTGGCAACATTTTCTTTATTCCAAGACAGGGGCTGAATTTCATTATCTAAAGTAAACTGTTTTACATGCTTAGAAAAGCTATGAGTATTTTCTCATTGATTCAAAATTTATGAATTAAAATTTCTGATAATTTGAAGGAGGGCTTAAAGCATCTTAATTTTGTGGGGTGTGTGTGTAACTTTTAAAGTAGGCAATACATTCACATGGTTTAAAAAAACAAAGTGTAAGGGGCTTCCCTGGTGGCACAGTGGTTGAGAGTCCGCCTGCCGATGCAGGGGACACCGGTTTGTGCCCCAGTCCTGGAAGATCCCACATGCCGCGGAGCGGCTGGGCCCGTGAGCCATGGCCGCTAAGCCTGCGCGTCCGGAGCCTGCGCTCCGCAATGGGAGAGGCCAACAGTGAGAGGCCCGCGTACCGCAAAAAAAAGGAAAAAAAAAAAGTGTAAGAAAGTATATAGCAAAAAGTTCCATGATATTTTTGTACTTTATCAGTTCCCACTGCCCCCTAATACCATCCTTCCTGAGTTTCTTTACTCATATATAAACAAATACAAATAAATTTCTTATTTTTCCTCTCTTTTATACAAAAGATACATGCAATACACGTTTGTAGCTTGTATTTTTCCTTTACTAATATATTTTGGAAATCTTTCTGTATTAGTACATAGAGACCATCATTTTTTTTAGCAACTGCGCAGATTTCCATTATATAGGTATACCATAATTTATTTACCAGACCCCTGTTGATGGATATTTGGGTTATTTCTAGTGAACACTCTTGTACACATACCACTATGTATCCATGTAAGATTATCTGTAGGATAAGTTCCCCACAATGAAACTGTTAAACCAAAGGATATATGTATTTGTAATTTTGGTAGACACTGCCACCTCCACAGAGGGTGATCAATACCCATTCCCACCAGCAATAATTTCTCACAGCCTTGCTAATTATAAGTATCATCAAACTTTAGGAGTTTTGCCACTGTGTTAGATGGTATAATTGTGCAGGTTTAATATGTATTTCTCTTATTTTGAGTGAGGCTAAGTGTCTTTTCATGTATTTCAGTGACGGGTTGTATCCTTTAGGGCTAGGTTTTGTAACAGACCTTTTCTTCATAAGTAAAACTTCTAGTACAGGGCCATACTGAGAATTCAGTGAAAGCTTAGTTGAACTAAATTTAGCTGTTTCTTACTTTCTGGCATAACAATATGTTCCAGGCTCATCTTGTACTTTATACCCTGCCCTAGCCCTGGAATTAGCCATTTCTCTGAGGATTCCTGGTTCTTAATTTTAGTGTGAAATGATGTTACAGACCAAGAGATGGCACTAGGTGTGCTCAGTACTCCTGGGATATATTTTCTTCTTGACACTTCCATAGGACAGAGATAGGAAATACATGCATGTCTATACACATATGCATGCACGCACACATATATAAATATATATTCATACACATGCATATACGTGTGAAATATACATGCATATATGTGTACACATTATATATGTATGTTTAGAAATAATAAGTTCACACAGTTAGTACTAATTCCCATCCCTTTCCCCAAGTTTCTTTCCTGCCTTCCATCATTTTCATGTTTGTATGTTCTTTTTTCCTAAGTGAGAACCCTGACTTCTAACAAATCAACACATGTACATATTTTGCTCAGTTCTATAATACAACTGAAATCGTCCAGAATTGCTTCACTCATTCAACTACAATACACTGTAGCTTTTTTTTTTTTTTTAAGTTCTTTACAAAGAAAACTGTTGATGTTTCTTTAAAAATCAGTCATAATCAGGGACTTCCCTGGCGGTCCAGTGGTTAAGACTCTGTGCTTCCAGTGTAGGGGGCGAGGGTTCGATCCCTGGTGGAGGAACTAAGATCCCATATGCTGTACTGCGCAGCCAAAAAAAAAAAGTCATAATCAATTGAATTTACTGAATTAGATTTTTATTGTTCCATAAAGGATTAATTGGAGCAGCATACAAATAGTTCCTTCATATAAATTTTAGAGCAATTCTTTTTAGAAATTATTCTTAGGACTTCCCTGGTGGTCCAGTGGGTAAGACTCTGTGCTCCCAATGTAGGGGGCCCGGGTTCGATCCCTGGTCGGGAAACTAGATCCTGCATGCATGCCACAGCTAAGAACTCCCCATGCCTCAACTAAGTAGTCCGCATGCCACAACTAAGAAGCCCACATGCTGCAAGTAAGCATCCGCATGCCGCAACTAAGAAGTCCACATGCTGTAAATAAAAGATCCCACATGCTGCAGTTAAGACCTGGTGCAGCCAAAAAAGAAAAAAATTCTTATAAAAAAAAAAAGAAAGAAATTCTTCTTAGACCTTTGGTGAGGGTGGTATATTAGAGTTTAATTAAAAGTAAGAAATTTGGTACTTTTACAATAATGAAAAAGTTTTTACTGTAAATTATACTGTAAAAGATAGCTAACTAGTCTTTCTTGAAATAACATTAAAGTGTACACATTAAATTGTATTCCATTCTAGATTCAAGGGCATTACCTTTGCCTAGAATAACAATATGTACAATATTCTAAAAGAAAATACAAACTTTTAAATCTAAAACTTTGAATTTTCTTATAAAATCCTATAAGAATTAATATGAATGCTTATTCTTATGTATTATTTATATTAATGTTTCTAGCTTCTAATAATTCATTGTTTACAGTTTTCTCATTTTCTTTCAGATACAGGCATAGACCACCATGCTCTTCTAAAACAATTTGATCATCTAAATCACCTGAATCCTGAGAAGTTTGAATCTACAGATTTAGATATGCTGATCAAAGCGGTGAGACTCATTTCAAAATGTGTTGTCTTTGTTGTGCCTTTGAGGTTTTGTAATTTGACAAGTAAATTCCATGAAGTGGTAATATAACTTTTACATACTCTCTAGAATATCTTTAAAGGGAGATAGCTTAACCCTTATTAGTATAGATAATAATGTGGACATACAGGTCTGTAATCCCTTGCCAACAATTCCAAAATCCAAAATACTATAAAAATGGAAACCTGGCTTGAATTATAGTAAGGCTATTTATAGGTTTTATTTAGCTTACTTAGTGTATTTATAGATTTTGATAAGGAAGTACTAATCTGTTTGATTACAAACTCTTCAGGGGTGTTAAATGATATGGCATATGTGCCATATGTCTTTTCTAAAATCTAGAAAATTCTTAAACACATCCTGCCTCAGGGATTTTAGATTATAATTTGTAGACCTCTCGTGTTGTACTGTATGAAGTTAGCAAATTAGATGTTCTAGCCTGGGTGTTACTAGATTTAGTTAAGTCGTTAGGAACTGTTCTAGTTCTCTATACTGTACAGATTTGATACAGTCCCTTCCTTTTTCTTCTTTTTAAAATAAATTTATATATTACTTGCTTATAAGGAACTTCCTAAAGTTGAAGCTAGCTTTGAACTTCTAGTTTCTTTGAATGCCTACATCTCTGAGAATAATAATGACCAAAATAGAAGGGTAAAATTTAAAACAGAAGTCAAATATGTTTTGGTCCTCCTATGCTACCTTCTGTTAGAGAGTATGCTATATGCAAGAAAGCCTTTATTTATATTTTTCAAGCACATCTTATTTAATTTAAAAATTGCATTATAGGCTACAAGTGATCTAGAACACTATGATAAAGCTCGACATGAAGAATTTAAAAAATATGAAATGATGAAGGAACATGAAAGGAGAGAATACTTAAAAACACTGAATGAAGAAAAGAGAAAAGAAGAAGAATCTAAATTTGAGGAAATGAAGAGAAAGCATGAAAGTCATCCCAAAGTTAATCATCCAGTAAGGATTATGACTTTGTAAAACCATAGTTAGATGAAGATACTTCTTTGTGCCAGATAGTAGAATTTTATAAGTTATTAGTACTTAAAATCTTGATTCTTAATTCTGCAAAGTTTTTCAATTTTATATTTTATTTTGAGCCTATATACATAGATTATAGTTTGTCTTGAGTGTTTTTTTTTAAATTGATTCACAGGGAAGCAAAGATCAACTAAAAGAAGTGTGGGAAGAGACTGATGGATTGGATCCTAATGACTTTGACCCCAAGACATTTTTCAAATTACATGGTAACAGATTTGATACAATATTAATATTTATATCTTTTGTTTAAAAAATTATAGATGCTTTACTCCTAATTGACTTCTGCCAAGGTTTGCTAATCGAGTCCTATTGATAGTAAACATTTAGAGTTTTCCTCTAGGGTAGTATAGCAGTCTTTATTGCTGGTCTGCAGTATAAAATATTTTAGGTCAGTAGCTATGTCTTTATACTTGCTTTTACTTTTGAGTCATTTTATGACTTATTACAAGTTTCTCTGTAAAATGAAGGCATTTCTGTGACTAGCTAGGTTATATCTAATGGACTTTATGCTGTAATATTAAAATTTACTTTTAGCCTTATAGCATATTGCTTCACTTTATATTTTGGTTAATATATATATTTTTCTAAATAACTATGATGAATTATGAATAAGTAGTGAATTGTTATCAGTTGGACTGATCTGAGGCTTCATAAAAAAGAAGGATACCTTTTTCTGTAGCATGTTGATGCTTCGTGTTAAGTAATACTTTTGCAAACCATTAGTAATTAGTTGTATTTTAACTATCAGTTTTCTAAGGCATTAAAATCAGTTTTTGCATTTGTAACTTTTAAACTTTAGATGTCAATAGTGATGGCTTCCTAGATGAACAAGAATTAGAAGCCCTATTTACTAAAGAGGTAAATGAGTTCATTAAGTATTCAGTGGTTTTGCTCTGTCTTTTTCCCTTCTATTATCTTCCTTTCTTTTATGTTGGTTTTAAATTTTTCTTTTTAGTTGGAGAAAGTATATGACCCCAAAAATGAAGAGGATGATATGGTAGAAATGGAGGAAGAAAGGCTTAGAATGAGGGAACATGTAATGAATGAGGTATGTTTGAAAAGTTTATCTGTTAATTCTGTGGAGTTTTCAAGTTCTTGCAATAAATCTTATTGTAAAATGGAAAATAAATATATATAATATTTAATTGGATTTTGCATTTTTGATCCAGAACAGTCAGTAGGTTCCCTTAGTGTAAATAAAATTATTTTGTAACTGCTTTAAAATATTTTAAAATATTAAGATGCTGCTGCATATAAAAGAATGCTGTAAAGCATTCTTTTAGAAGTAGAAAATAATGTAGTCCATTATTTGATATTGTAAATGCTGTATTCGTTTTTGCTAAGAAATTAAAAAACTCAATACCTTAATGGTGTATAACAACAAGTATTTATTTCTTGTTCACATTACTAAGGTGAAAACTCTGAAATAGCTATCATAGGCAGGGTAACTTAAGCCCACTTTTTTGTTGTTTTGTTTTGTTTGTTTATTTGTTTTTGGCTGCACCACGTGGCTTGTGGGATCAGCTTTTGGGATCTTAGTTCCCTGACCAGGGATCGAACCAGGGCCCTTGGCAGTGAAAGCACAGAGTCCTAACCACTGGACCACCAGGGAATTCCCCAAGCCCACTGTTTTGCTTCAGTGATTTTCACCTGTCATTTGAGCTCTTTATGGTAAATTGGGATTTTTGTTGAGTGCTGGCTTCCAAGTAACAAATGAATTTCTTTGGCCATCATAGAGTTCACTTTTGTAACTGAATTTGCCATAGTCTATAAGAGCCATTAAACAGGGTTTGGAAAGGTTGTCAACTTTAGCTTTGATTTAGTTAGTTGTTTGTTTTTAGGAAAACATTGTTGAGAGCATTTTAACTTAAACTCCTTTACTCTTGGCTAAAACAGTCTTCTTTCTGGAAAGATTGTTTTTCTTGCCCAAGCACTTGGCTTTGAAAGGAGGTGTGGTGAGTAAGGAAAACAATACTAGTCTACCCAGTCATATCAGCAGACTCAAACTTGGTGATCTTTGGGGGTATCAGTTATTTTCAAATTTGAATTATATAGGAGAAAAAGTTATCTATTCTCTGATTCTAGGATAATGTTGAGTGTCCTGTTTTGATTTTTTCCCTCAGTTTCTCTGGATGTTAGGCTAGCCCTAATTGCTGTATATTTATGTAGTAGCATCTATTAGAAGAATTTCTAGTATCTAAATAATGTGAAAGAGTTATTTTATTTTACATGTACACTTTCCTTTAATCAGGTTGATACTAACAAAGACCGATTGGTGACTCTAGAAGAGTTTTTGAAAGCTACAGAAAAAAAGGAATTCTTGGAGCCAGACAGCTGGGAGGTAATAGAACCTACATGAAATGGGATGTATCGTTCAAGAAATTCTACATCAGTCTATTCTGCTTTTAACTTTTATTCGCCATTATGTTTGCATGTGTAGTTTTACCATCTTGGCTTTTCATATGAAATTTCACTATAAAATAATGAACTTGATTTCTTGCAAAGCTGGGACAATTGATCTCTATTGGTAATCACATTGCATGTAATTGTGTCTTTCTAAAATCGTCCTTTTTTTCTTTTTGCGGTACGCGGGCCTCTCACTGTTGTGACCTCTCCCGTTGCGGAGCACAGGCTCCGGACGCGCAGGCTCAGCGGGCCCAGCCGTTCCGCGGCATGTGGGATCTTCCCGGACCGGGGCACGAACCCGTGTCCCCTGTATCGGCAGGCGGACTTTCAACCACTGCGCCACCAGGGAAGCCCTAAAATCGTACTTTTTTTATGTGTAAAATATGTTCATTCTTGAAAATTAAAAATATGTATACAGTTAAAGTATGAATTAGAGGTTACATGTAATTCTACCATCCGGAGGTAGACACTTAAATTATGTATTGTGTTATGCCAGTTTGGAAATCGTTTGTATATTTAGTATACGCATATATAGCATACAGTGAATAAATAGTATACTGTCCCATTTTTAGCTTACATATACACATAAATTCATATCTATGTATTTTTTAAATGGCTTCATATATTCACTATATAAATGACTTTGTATGTTTGTGAAATTCTGTTTTTTAAAAATATAACAATATTTCATGAACATTTCAATGCCATGTCTCAAAATCTCGATTTAAAAAATGACCACTTAGCATGCAGTTGTGTGGTTGTAGCATAATTTATATAGCCATTCTTCCAGATTCAGACATTATGGGTCAATTCTAATTTTTTTTTACTGTGATAAATAACATTATGATGACTATCCATTTGTTCATGCATTTGGGGGCATCTGTGATGATTTCCCTGGGATTAATTCCTAGGAATAGAACTATTCTCAAGTTTTATGAACATTTTTTAGTTTCTAAATATATCTGTCAAATTGCTCCTGAAAAGTATTTGAATTTATACCATGGTTTACTGTGTATAAGTGAGTGCATACACATCTTGAACAGAATGGTTGAGCGGTACCAAAGTAGATTGAAAAAAGAACATTGTCGACAGGTGCAAGCCGCGGCTATCAGCGTGGACACCAGCGACAGTCATGAAACGCTAAGGCTGCTACTGCAGCCACCAAGAGGCCTGTGTGCAAGCACAGGTCACTATCCACACCACCCCGGGAGCCTGTGCAGCCCGCCACTGCCAGGGTCTGGTGATCCAGAGAAAACTTCCCCAGGAGAACACACAGCATGCCTCAGGCTATTGCAACGTCATGTCAGCCTCTGCCACCGCAGGCTCACCCCGCATTCCATACCCCTCCCTCCCCACCGCCTGAGTGAGCCAGAGCCCCCGAATCAGCTGCTCCTTTAACCCCATCCTGGCTGGGCAAAGAACAGATGCCCTCAGGCGAACTGCATACAGAGGCGGGGCCAAATCCAAAGCTGAGCCCTAGGAGCTGTGCGAACAAAGAAGAGAAAGGGAAATTTCTCCCAGCAGCCTCAGGAGCAGCGGATTAAATCTCTACAATCAACTTGATGTACCTGCATCTGTGGAATACCTGAATAGACAACGAATCATCCCAAAATTGAGGCGGTGGATTTGGAAGCAACTGTAGACTTGGGGTTTGCTTTCTGCATCTAATTTATTTCTGGTTTTATGTTTATCTTAGTTTAGTAATTAGAGTTTATTATCATTGGTAGATTTGTTTATTGATTTGGTTGCTCTCTTCCTTTTTTTTTTATATAGATATTTTTTTTCCTTTTTCTCTTTTTGTGAGTGTGTATGTGTATGCTTCTTTGTGTGATTTTGTCTGTATAGCTTTGCTTTTACCATTTGTCCTAGATAATCTGTCTGTCCGTTTTTTTTGTTTGTTGTTTTTAGTATAGTTTTTATTGCTTGTTATCATTGGTGGATTTGTTATTTGGCTTGGTTGCTCTCTTCTTTGTTTCTTTTTTTATTACTTTTTAATTTATTTTATTTATTTATTTATTTTTTGCGGTATGCGGGCCTCTCACTGTTGTGGCCTCTCCCATTGCGGAGCAACAGGCTCCAGACGCGCAGGCTCAGCGGCCATGGCTCACGGGCGCAGCCGCTCCGTGGCATGTGGGATCTTCCCAGGCCAGGGCACGAACCTGTGTCCCCTGCATCGGCAGGCGGACTCTCAACCGCTGCGCCACCAGGGAAGCCCTAATTTATTTTATTTTTAATAATTTAAAAAAATTTTTTATTTTAATTATTTCCTTCCTTCCTTCCTCCCTCCCTCCCTCCCTTCCTTCCTTCCTACAGGTGTCAGGCCTGTGTCTCTGAGATAGGAGAGCTGAGTTCAGGACAGTTGGTCCACCAGAGACCTCCCGGCTTCACATAATATCAAACGGGGAAAGCTCTCCCAGAGATCTCCATCTCAACGCTAAGACCCAGCTCCACTAAACGACCAGCAAGCTACAGTTCTGGACACCGTATGCCAAACAACTAGCAAGACAGGAACACAACCCCATCCATTAGCAGAGAGGCCGCCTAAAATCATAATAAGGTCACAGACACCCCAAAACACACCACCGGACGTCGTCCTACTCACCAGAAAGGCAAGATCCAGCCTCATCCACCAGAGCACAGGCACCAGTTCCCTTGACCAGAAAGGCTGCACAACCCACTGAACCAACCTTAGCCACTGGGAGCAGACACCAAAAACAACAGGAACTATGAACCTGCAGCCTGCAAAAAGAAGACCCCAAACACAGTAAATTAAGCAAAACGAGAAGACAGAGAAACACACAGCAGATGAAGGAGCAAGGTAAAAACACACCAGACCAAACAAATGAAGAGGGAATAGGCAGTCTACCTGAAAAAGAATTCAGAGTAATCATAGTAAAGATGACCCAAAATCTTGGAAATTGAATGGAGAAAATACAAGAAACGTTTAACAAGGACCTAGAAGAACTGAAGAGAAAACAAACAATGATGAACAACAAAATAAATTAAATTAAAAATTCTCTAGAAGGGGGCTTCCCTGGTGGCACAGTGGTTGAGGGTCCACCTGCTGATGCAGGGGGCACAGGTTCGTGCCCCGGTCCAGGAGGATCCCACGTGCCATGGAGTGGCTGGGCCCGTGAGCCATGGCCGCTGAGCCTGCGTGTCTGGAGCCTGTGCTCCGCAATGGGAGAGGCCACAGCAGTGAGAGGCCCGCGTACCACAAAAAAAAAAAAAAATTCTCTAGAAGGAATCAGTAGCAGAATAACTGAGGCAGAAGAACAGATAAGTGACCTGGAAAATAAAATAGCGGAAATAACTACCGCAGAGCAGAATAAAGAAAAAGGAATGAAAACAATTGAGGACAGTCTCAGAAACCTCTGGGACGACATTAAATGCACTAACATTCAAATTATAGGGGTCCCAGTAGAAGAAGAGAAAAAGAAAGGGACTGAGAAAATATTTGAAGAGATTATAGTTGAAAACTTCCCTAATATGGGAAAGGAAATAGTCAATCAAGTCCAGGAAGCACAGAGAGTCCAATACAGGATAAATCCAAGGAGGAACATGCCAACACACATATTAATCAAATGATCAAAATTTAAATACAAAGAAAAAATATTAAAAACAGTAAGGGAAAGCAACAAATAACATATAAGGGAATCCCCATAAAGTTAACAGCTGATCTTTAAGGAGGAGCTCTGCAAGCCAGAAGGGAGTGGCAGGACATATTTAAAGTGATGAAAGGGAAAAACCTACAACCAACATTACGCTACCCAGCCAGGAACTCATTCAGATTCGACGGAGAAATTAAAACCTTTACAGACAAGCAAAAGCTAAGAGAATTCAGCACCACCAAACCAGCTTTACAACAAATACTAAAGGAACTTTTCTAGGCTGGAAACACAAGAGAAGGAAAAGATCTACAATAACAAACCCAAAACCATTAAGAAAATGGTAATAAGAACATACATATTGAAAACTACCATAAACGTAAATGGATTAAATGCTCCAACCAAAAGACATAGACTGGCTGAATGGATTCAAAGACAAGACCTGTATATATGCTGTCTACAAGAGACCCACTTCAGACCTAGGGACACATACAGACTGAAAGTGAGGGGATGGAAAAAGATATTCCATGCAAATGGAAATCAAAAGAAAACTGGAGTAGCAATTCTCATATCATAAAACAGACCTTAAAATAAAGACTATTACAAGAGACAAAGAGGGACACTACATAATGATCAAGGGATCAATCCAAGAGGAAGATATAACAATTGTAAATATTTATGCACCCAACATAGGAGCACCTCAATACATAAGGCAAATGCTAACAGCCATAAAAGGGGAAATCAACAGTAACACCACCATAGTAGGGGGCTTTAATACCCCACTTTCACCAATGGACAGATCATCGAAAATGAAAATAAATAAGGAAACACAAGCTTGAAATGATACGTTAAACAAGATGGACTTGATCGCTATTTATAGGACATTCCATCCAAAAACAACAGATTACACTTTCTTCTCCAGTGCTCATAGAACATTCTCCAGGATAGATCATATCTTGGGTCACAAATCAAGCCTTGGTAAATTTAAGAAAATTGAAATTGTATCAGGTATCTTTTCCGACCACAATGCTATGAGACTAGATATCAATTACAGGAAAAAATGTAAAAAGTACAAACACATGGAGGCTAAACAATACACTACTAAAGAACCAAGATATCACTGAAGAAATCAAAGAGGAAATCAAACAATACCTAGAGACAAATGGCAATGGAAACACGATGACCCAAAACCTATGGGATGCAGCAAAAGCAGTTCTAAGAGGGCAGTTTATAGCAATACAATCCTACCTCAAGAAACAAGAAACATCTCAAATAAAGCAACCTAACCTTACACCTAAAGCAGTTGAGAAAGAATAACCAAAAAACCCAAAGTTAGCAGAAGGAAAGAAATCATAAACATCAGATCAGAAATAAATGAAAAAGAAATGAAGGAAACAGTAGGAAAGATCAAGAAAACTAAAAGCTGGTTCTTTGAGAAGATAAACAAAATTGATAAACCATTAGCCAGACTCATCAAGAAAAAAAGGGAGAAGACTCAAATCAATAGAATTAGAAATGAAAAAGGAGAAGTAACAACTGACACTGCAGAAATAGAAAGGATCATGAGAGATTACTATAAGAAACTATATGCCAATAAAATGGACAACCTGGAAGAAATGGACAAATTCTTAGAACAGGACAGCCTTCCGAGACTGAACCAGGAAGATAGAAAATATAAACAGTCCAATCACAAGCACTGAAATTGAGGCTGTGATTAAAAATCTTCCAACAAACAAAAGCCCAAGACCAGATGGCTTCACAGGCGAATTCTATCAAACATTTAGAGAAGAGCTAACACCTATCCTTCTCAAACTCTTCCAAAATATAGCAGAGGGAGGAAAACTCCCAAACTCATTCTACGAGGCCACCATCACCCTGATACCAAAACCAGACAAAGATGTCACAAAGAAAGAAAACTACAGGCCAATATCACTGATGAACATAATGCAAAAATCCTCAACAAAATACTAGCAAACAGAACGCAACAGCGCATTAAAAGGATCATACATCATGATCAAGTGGGGTTTATCCCCGGAATACAAGGATTCTTCAATATACGCAAATCAATCAATGTGATAAAATATATTAACAACTTGAAGGAGATAAACCATATGATCATCTCAATAGATGCAGAAAAAGCTTTTGACAAAATTCAGCACCCATTTATGATAAAAACCCTCCAGAAAGTAAGCAGAGAGGGAACTTACCTCAACATAATAATGGCCATATATTACAAACCCACAGCCAACATGCCCCGGTCCAGGAGGATCCCGCATGCCGCGGAGCGGCTGGGCCCGTGAGCCATGGCCGCTGAGCCTGCGCGTCCGGACGGAGCCTGTGCTCCGCGACGGGAGAGGCCGCGTGGTGAGAGGCCCACGTACCGCGAACAAAAAAAAAAAAAAAAAAAAGTTTCTTGGGTTAGTTCTTTTCTCCTTCCCCCTTCTGTGGATTGTTTTATTCACTTAAAATAAAAGTATTATTTGTTTCTATTTGTATTCAATTTGGAGAGGTTTTCTGTCCTTGTGGATTTTTATTTATTTTCTTTTTTTCTTTGAGTATGTGAAACATTGATATGTTTCCAACAATCAAATCTGTGCAAAAAAAGGCATATTCAAAGGAGTGTGATTTTTTTTTCCCACATTGTCTTTCCACCCAGTTCTCCCCTTACTCTGTAGGTAACCAATCTTATTAGTTTCCGGATTTTCCTTCCTGTTATATCTTTTGCCCAAATAAGTGCAAGTGTATATATTCTTATTTCCCCTTCTTTCTTACCCAAAAGATATAATACTATAGATATTCTTTTGTACTTTGCTAAGCATAGAATTTTAAAGCTGAATCAGACCTTTTTGTTTTCTTTCTAAGGTTTCTCTTTTCTCATTTTTTTGTCTTTTAGACATTGGATCAACAACAGTTCTTCACAGAGGAAGAACTGAAGGAATATGAAAATCTTATCTCCATACAAGAAACTGAACTTAAGAAAAAGGCAGATGAGCTTCAGAAACAAAAAGAAGAGCTACAACGTCAGCATGACCAACTTGAGGCTCAGAAGCTGGAATACCATCAGGTGATATTTTGTAAAAAGGCTTGTGGCATTAAAAAGGATTTTAGGGGCTTTGCTACAAGCCTGTGTTTTTGTAATATATTTCAATTAGCTGTCGTATTTTAAATTTTAATATTTTTTAAACTGCGTTTTTTTAAACTTCCTTGTTGAATATTAATCTAAATTATAGAACGTGAATATCCCATTTTGGAAAACAATTTTCAGTTTGTTGTGCATTGTCAATGGTCATACATATTAGAGAAAATCAAATAACGCTTACTTTTAAGGCATTGTTTTTCCATTCACTAGGTTTTACAGCAGATGGAACAAAAAAAATTACAACAAGAAATTTCCCCATCAGTGCCTGGTGGAGAATCAAAGATCCAGCCACGTATGTAATTTTGTTTATTTGTTTGTTTGAGGAAATTAAAAAATTGAATAAATAGAAATTCACATTTATTACAAGTATAATTTAAATCATTAATATCTGTGCTATTTTCTGTTTATTTGTGGAAATAGAGCAATTTGTGTTACAGGAAAATGAAAAAGCCTCTCAAATTTGTATACATCAGTACATTTCAAAAGCTATATAATTTGATAGCCATATGCATGGTGAAATGATTTTTTTCAGTATTATTCATAATTCTTCCTAATCTGTTATTGATACTATCACAGAATATGTTTTTTAATTGTAATCAGTGATTAACTAAACATAGTTAAAAAGCAAATACTCAGTATATCTAAGTATAAAAGAATATTCAGAATAAAGGAAGATACCTTTAAAATGAGGGCTTTTTTTTTTTTTTTGAACAGGCATTTAAAGTCCAAAGTCCACCAGAACTTAGAATAAAATTGTTACATCATCATGTGTGTCATCTTTTTACCTCCCTTCCTTTTCCTCTGCTCAGTAAATATTTTAAAGCATATATGGAATAAAGGAAGATACTTTTTAAATGAGAACTTTTTTTTTTTTTTTTGGACACAGATGTTTAAGGATTGAAGTCTACCAGAACCAGGAAGGAAACAAACTCAATACCTGCTCTCATTTTCATACCTCTTTTCTTTTTCCTTTGTTCTCCTTTAGTGATTTAATTAAGTGGCTTTATGCCATAATTTAATGAAACTATTAGTACCTATTTAAGTGAGAAAGCGCCACCCACTGCCTTTAAAATAAATTGTTTTCTCTTATTCATAAAGGTAAATACTCTTTTATGGGTGCTTATTATCCCCTCTCTCAATAAAAGCTCTTTGATATTAATAATTCTTCTCCTGAGAAGACCATAGTATTCCCCAGTGTGTGTTGGTAACTTTTTCCTACTTTTCAGCAATCTTAACTGCTAGAAATTCTTCTACCAAACAGCTCTTGCTACCACTTAAGTTCATTTTTCATTTACATTTTTGCTTTATACTCTATCATTCAAGATCAGGTTTTGCTACATATAACAGAAAACCCAAAGATAATGGTGGTTTAAACTGAATAAGAACTTTTGCCTTTTACATAGAAGAAATCTGGAAGTAGGTGATGTACAGGTTCCTATCTTTCTCCTCTGCTCTCCCCAGTGCATAGTTTTTATTCTTGAGTTATTTCATTCTCAGGGTCCAAGATGGCTCTTGGAGGCAGTGGGGAAGGGCAACAAAAGGAATGTCCCCCAGTTGAATCAGCTTCCTTGATGCAGTTTTCCCAGAGAACCACATAGCATTTGAATTTACATCTCATTGACCAGAGCTGTGTCACATGGCCATCTAGCTGCTAGGGAAGCTGAGAAATCTATGTGGCAATGGGACAGGCTAAAAGTTAGGATTCTTTTAGGAAGGATTCCCTTTAAGAAGGGAAGAGGGAATGTTTGGTAGGCAACTTACAGCTTTAATTTAAACAGCCTTTTGGTTACTTAAATATCTATGTACATTCTTCTGAAACAGAAAATGCTCACTTCCCCCACCTCAAAAGGAAACCACCAAAACCCAATCTATTATTGCATGTAGTTCAAAGCCCATGACATCTGAGTATAGTCCCCTCCATCAGGTTAGGATGTGGTTTTTTTATGTTCTGGTCATCTGCAAACTAAAAAGCAACATGTCTGCCCCCTGAGCACCATATGCATAATGGGATAGATACAGGATAACTGCAATAAAATCAACCTTTTAGAAAGGGGGAAAACAGGAAACAGAGCAGTCATCTTTCCATAACAATTAAAAAAATACTGCTTGGCAAAAATAGCAAGGTCTCTCTGCTCTGTCCATAAATATATTCTTTGGTTTTTCTATTAGGCAACCCCTGCTTCACCTTTCTGGGAGGAACTCCCTTGTCTAATGTCCTCAGGGGCCCTTGGCATTACCCTCTAGGATGTTTTTATTGCCCATTAACCTTCAAGGACGCAAGTGGGCATTGGGAAGTGTCCTCTTCTCGAAGGCTGGACAGTCTTCACACTTCACTTCCTGTTATTGTGGGTTTGGGGCCTTGGGATTGTTTCAGATAGTTACAGGCTCTTTCAGGCCAGGTTTAGGGTTTTTATTTGTTTTTGCTTTGTTTTGCTTTTTGGCAAAACAGTTCCCTCAAAGGTTGTACGTTTCTGGTCTGTTTTCTTCAATTATTACCACGAGAAACCACAAAGATCTTGCCAAGACATATTTAACAAAGAACCTCATCTTTTACTTGCTGACCTCTGTGTTCTTTTCTCCCGTTGGGTCTTAAATGAATGGTACCCACTTGGGATTGTTTTAAACTATAGGCTTGGATGGGATAACAGGAGTCTTAATCTGATCTTTTTCCTTAAGATGGCTCCCATTATTTGGCAGAAAATTCTTAAGGGAAGGTTCTTGGAAAGTTTGTGAAAGCTTTAGCAGCTTCCTCAGAACCTTTACTTATAACTGTTTCAGTTTGGAGTACGGTAGTACAGTAGGTGACCTTTTTCAATTCTTCAGGGCTCCAGATTTGGGAATTTATCAATCTATTTGGTAGATAGAGAGCAGTTCTCTCGGCAAAGCTATATTGCCTTCTATCTCTGCAGACTTGCTTACCTTAGCCCGAGCCACATCTCTCCTGTAGGACTTTTCTGAAAGAGGCAAGGCGCAGCCCACACATGCTAGCATTCTGAAATTCTACCACCATTTTCTCTGATACCTTAACCTCAGTTGGCATGAAGTATCACTGCCCCAAACCCTACCTTCTTAACTAAGCCAATTCCATTTTTTCAGATCCTTTTACTTGCTGCACCTTACTTCTAGCTACCAAATTCTGTATAGGTTTAGATTCTTCATTGTAAGTAATAGAATCGTCTTCAGGTACTAAACAGAATGGGATTGATGTGGGGAGAGCAGTATAGATAGATAGCTCACAGAATCTTTGGGAAGGCTGAAAGAACAGAACTTAGGCTGAGCTTCTAGGAACTGCGTCATGAGACTGGGCTGCCAAAGAAGCTGCTGCTTTTGGAACAATCAAGAAGCTGCCTGCTAAATCAGGAAGCCACCTGCCAGATTAGGAAGTCATGAAGTTGCCAAGCTCCAGAACCACACCACCTCTGCCTTGCTTTGTGTCAGCAAAAATGGATATTTCATGTCCTGCTTCTCTCCCCATGTAATTCAGTTCTGAGTAAAAGTTTCAAGTGAGTACATCTGATTGTTTGGACCAGTCATATCTGGAACCCTAGCTGCAAGGGAGGTTGGGAAATAATATTTAATTTCCTACCCCTGTAGTACAGGAATGCATGTTTAAAGCTGTTGAGTGAACAAATCCACTGTAATACCTCAAAAATTTACATTGTTTCTTTTAACATTAATAATTTTTAAAACTCTTAGTTCTCATTTTACAAATTTTAAAATAATCATTGCATACTCCTCCAAACACTTCAGATTTTTTTCCTTAAATCATGGATCCCAAAATTAAATCATGGATCCCAAAATTAAATAGAGCAATCTAGAAAAGTTCTGCTTATATGTAGCTTAAAAAAACCCACAGAAATCACTCAGGAGAGTAATGCTATGTTTCTTTAGAGATAGAGAAGAATTCCTATCTCTGTTGTTTAAATTGTAGCAAATATTTTTAAATGATCTGGGATATCCTTTTGTTGATGACTCTATCTGTAAGCGGTATTGTGATAAGACAGGGATTCACCTAGGATAAATTTTTTTAGATGGTGGACTAGGGTCAAATCAGAAAGTAATTGGAGACAATAATATTGTACTTTTATGAAATGTGACAAATATCAATACAACAGCAGTCATATTATAATATATTAAATATATCAAAGTAACACATCTTGCACCTTAAATTTACACAGTGGTATATGTCAAATATATTCAAGTAAAAAAATAGTAATTGGAGGAGAACTTAGAGAAATTTTTTAAAATGCTCTTTTGGCATGAGTAGATAATGGACAGATATTAATGTAGACATACCTCACAGTTTCCAGCAAATTATTAATTTATATTATTAAAAAAAGAATTGTTGGCCTAAGATTATTTATGGGCATAAGGAATCCCAGTTCTTATGAGTATTGGGCATTTATGAGTAAAGATTGTTTCTTAAAGAGTTGCTAATAGTATTTTTTCCAGCTCTGTTAGAAAGTATTCATCCTGTGTTTGATTTATCCCATTCTTCTTCATATTCTTAGATATTAAGACGTCTTTGGTTTAGTTGACTTAGTGGTATGTATAAGTAATTTGGAACTTTGTTTCACATATGAATTTTCATGAAGCATGTACATTTTATAGTATACTTAGATATATATAATTAAAATTATATTTTAAAAGACAGTGGTCCTCTGGAATATTTGACTCTCACTAAAGGAAACTGCAATTTAGAAGCAGTGGTAAAAAATCCTTTGAAATATGGCTCTACTTTTTTTTTTTTAACCAAGATTTGTTTACAATGGCATTTTTTTCATGCTAATTGAACAGATTTGTATTACCATAAGCCTAAATGCAAATCTGTTTCTCCCATGAGGAAAAATATAAAGGAAATTTTAATATTTGTGATAATGTGACTTTTAAGATAGTCTTGCTAATAAAAGAGGGGGTAAGAAATGTATTTCCTTTAGGGAGAAATATTGACAAGTCTAGTTCTGGTTAGTGCCTAAAGTTTAATTTTTGTTTTATAGCTGTGCAATAAATCGAGAAGAAATTGGTAAAGAGGCAGAGTTAGATGATGACCTTCATCATTTTCATGCAAGATTTTTGTCGCCTGAAAGAGCTGCTAGAGAAGATCGTCTTTACCCTTAACCACTGGTGTCTCAACTTGATACTTGAATAATTCATTTGTTTTTTGTTGGAATTGAGAAACTAAGGTGTATTAGGTAAAATGCAGAGTTCCTATAGGTGATACAATGGAAGACTCTAATTACAGCTTGTTTTCAAGGTATGAGATTTGAAGGAAATTGGATCTTTTCCTTGCTTTTTGTTTTTTTTAACACAGTATCATTAGCAGGATTTCAGTCTTTCCCTACCCATGTTTTAATTAGTTAATTAATTAATTAATTAAAATCCAACAATTTAGGTGACTTTTTTCAGTTTTTAAAATTTCATATTGAACTATAGTTAATTAACAATATTATGTTAGTGTACAGTAAAGTGATTCATATATATTTATATGTGTATATATACTTTTCAGATTCTTTTTCATTATAGATTATAAGATATTGAATATAGTTCCCTGTGCTATACAGTAAATCCTTGCTGTTTATCTATTTTGTACATATTGTTGTACCTTATAATCCCATATTCCTAGTTTATCCCTCTACCCCCCTTTTCCCTTTGATAACCATGTTTGTTTTCTATGTCTGTGAGTCTGTTTCTGTTTCGTGAATAAATTTATTTGTATTATTTTTTAGATTTCACATATAAGTGATATCATATAATATTTTCTCTGACTTGTTTCACTTAGTATGATAATATCTAGGCCCATCCATGTTGCTGCAAATGGCAACATTTCATTCTTTTTTATGACTAATATTCCATTGTGTGTGTGTGTGTGTGTGTGTGTGTGTGTGTGTGTGTGTGTATATACCACATCTTCTTTATCCATTCATCTGTTAATGGACACCTAGGTTGCTTGACTATTATAAATAGTGATGCCAAAAATCTTGGCTGTCTGTGCACCAATGCCAGAAAGAAATACAGAGGCAGCATTTTGGAGAAACAAGAAAAATGACCTTAATCTTTGCCTGACAAAGGGGAAAACACAGCAGGCTAGTGCCTCCAGAACTGTGCCCCCCCTTCCCTGGGGAATAAGGAAAGGTTATATAGCCTGGGGCTTGAAGTCTGGGGTAGGTGATAAGGCTCAAAGTAATTAAGGTCTTGCATTTCTTTTCTTCTGGAAATTCATGGCCAAAGCTGGCATCAGGCAGCTCAGCAACCGGGTCTGATGGCCCTGAAGTTATCAGCCCATGATGTTCTTTTTGAAATGAAGAGTGCTACAAGGGAGTGTAGGGAGAAGAAATGCTAGGTGCAAAGGGTAATTCATATGGAATCAAGAGTAATCAGCTTTGTGAAGGACAGGTCTAGCTACAAGTGTTTGTTAGTAGTAACAGCTAAAGAATAACCAAGATTGCTTAACTCTTTCAGGCCTGTTTATGTTGTTTCCCCAGCCTGTTCATTGTTTCCTTATTTTCCTTGTTTATCAGAAAAGAAAAGTTTCATTTCTATTTTGTTTTTGTAAATTTATTTATTTATCTTGGCTGCGTTGGGTCTTTGTTGCTGCATGCAGGCTTTCTCTAATTGCGGCGAGTGGGGGCTACTCTTCGTTGCAGTGTGCGGGCTTGTCATTGCAGTGGCTTCTCTTTTTGCAGAGCACAGGCTCTAGGCACGTGGGCTTCAGTAGTTATGGCACATGGGCTCAGTAGTTGTGGCTCGCAGGCTCTAGAGTGCAGGCTCAGTAGTTGTGGTGCACGGGCTTAGTTGCTCTGCGGCATGTGGGATCTTCCCAGACCAGGGCTTAAATCCGTGTCCCCCCCCATTGGCAGGCAGATCCTTAACCACCAGGGAATTCCCTCATTTCTATTTTTGCTGCAACAAATTCCCCACTGCTAGTTCATTCCCTCCATATCAATGGAGGAAGGGAGAAGGGCATCATTCTTGTCTGGCTGAGGACAAAACTTCAGTTTTGCTCCATTTGATAAAACACCAGCTGTCCAGCCCAGGGGCCCATCTATTTCCTACTTCAATAGTGCTATTATTTATTTATTTCATTAAAAAAAATTTTTTTATTGGAGTATAGTTGACTTACAGTGTTGTGTTAGTTTCAGGTGTACAGCAAAGTGAATCAGTTATATACATATACATATATCCACTCTTTTTTAGATTCTTTTCCCATATAGGCCATTACAGAGTACCGAGTGGAGTTCCCTGTGCTATACAGTAGGTCCTTATTAGTTATCTATTTTATATATAGTGGTGTGTATATGTCAATCCCAATCTATCCCTCCCCCCACTTACCCCCGATAACCATAGTTTGTTTTCTATATCTGTAAATATTTCTGTTTTGTAGATAAGTTCATTTGTACCCTTTTTTTAGATCCCACATATAAGTGATAATCATATATTTGCCTTTCTCTCTCTGACTTACTTCACTTAGTGTGACAATCTCTAGGCCCATCCATGTTGCTGCATATGGCATTATTTTGTTCTTTTTTATGGCTGAGTAGTTAGTTACGCATTAGTAACTTTGCTTAAAAAAGTTCAAGAACTGAGCCAGAACAAGCAGTAGCAGCAAGTGGTGAAGACACCAAATCGAAAAATTTGGATTTATGGTTACCAGCACTACCAAACTGTTTATTGAGATAAAAGCAAAGCAAAACAAAACCAATAAAACCTTTTATTTAATTTCAGAAATTCAGGGATTTTTCCAAATATTGCCTATAGAGTTATGTAGAAAAAAATTTACATTTCACGTTTACAGATATCTACAGTTTTCACAAATTTAGTTTATATTTTAATTGATATTAGTCATGTTCTTAATGACGAATGCCATGTACCATCTTGGTTGTCAGGCAGCCCTTGACAGTGTATTTTTACTTATAGGCTCACCCTTCCAGTTGCCTTCCAAGCTCTGCCTGCCTGTTAACAAGTTGTTTTGTTTTGTTTTTTAACAATTTTTTAACTAGTTTTGATTATAATTTGTTTACAATCTATTGTAAGCAATAGATATGACTTTTGCTGTGCAAATTTTCTTACCTCTTTTTTTTTTGGCCACGCCACACAGCTTGTGGGATCTTAGTTCCCCCACCAGGGATCAAATCCAGGCCCATGGCAGTGAAAGCACCGAGTCCTAACCACTGGACTGCCAGGGAATTCCTGCTCCTTTTTTTTTTTTCTCCTTTTGTTTTATCCTTAGTAATAAGTATGTTTCCTAAGACTGTCCAGGATTATGAATATATATCTTGCAGTTAAAGTGTTAAAATATTTCATTTTAGGGCTTCCCTGGTGGCGCAGTAGTTGAGAGTCTGCCTGCCGATGCAGGGGACACAGGTTCATGCCCCGGTCCGGGAGGATCCCACATGCCGCAGAGCGGCTGGGCCCGTGGGCCGTGGCCGCTGGGCCTGTGCGTCCGGAGCCTGTGCTCTGCAACGGGAGAGGCCACAACAGTGAGAGGCCCGCGTACCGCAAAAAAAAAAAAAAAAATTCATTTTACAATTCTTATAATTTTGCTACTCCATGAAATTTTTTAATGAATAATGATTTTAAAGTTATAACTTGTCTGAGTGTTTTAAAAATAAGGGAGGAAAAAATAAAATTCCATCTACTAGCTCTCTTTGCCATCTCCCATGAATCATTGTATTAAAATGTTATTTTTTAATTTTAGTCCATTTAACATCTCCTTTTTAGTGATATGAAAATATGTGTCATTTAATTAAATCCTCACCCTCACTTTAGATTCCCTGTGTATGGAGTAAGTAACACATGTACGGCTTATGCCATTCTATATTTGTTTTGTACCATGTGACTTTACCTATTTTGCTGTCCACTATTACTCTTCACTTGTCAAAGTGATTTGAGTTTGCTTTACTTTTGAACTTTATCCTTTCTTTTCTTGGTGTTGCTACTTCATAAATATGTCCTTATTAGAGTAGTGATGTATTATAGATTATTTCTTTTTTGAGACATATTTGCCATGCCCCTTAATGTTTTAAACATTTTTATGGTAGTATTGAAGCATTTTCCTCAAACACAACAATTTAAAACTCCTCTATCTTTGTGTAGTGATTCCTTCTTGTTCTATAGCATTGAGTAATGTGTATTAGAATTGGTATTTTAACTTTTTCCTGACCAAATCTCAGTTCTGATCCTGTATTCATTTCTTGTTTCCTTTGATGTGTATGTGTTTTCACTCTCTGATATTTCTAGTATGTTTCTTTCAGAGTCAAGGTTGATCTTGGGGAAAAGAAAACTATGTCTGCAGAAAAGTCAGGTTTTCTAGAGCTTGTTAGGCAAGAAGGCAGTCCTTGCTAGAGTGGTTTCTGAGCACGGTGGAGAGTGCTTCTAACCCTGAAAAAAGTTTCTGACTCATGAGTAGAGATTTCCTGACTCCTTCCCTTTAACAGAGTGAAACAGCTTACAGAGCAAAAGCGTCCAGATTGTGGTGAATGTCCGTTGTCCAATTCTTTAGCTTTTTTATACCCTCCTTAAATAATAATAGTATTTAAAAATACTTTGTGCATCCCAGCAGACATTCTCCATCTTACAGTTGTTAATAAAGGAAAATAAGTATTTTTTGGAACAGAAAGACCAGGACATGAATTTGGCAATCTCTGATTAGAAGAGAAGTAGCATATTTTATTGTTTCATCATCACTTTTGCCTGGATGATCTGAGTTTTAGTTAAGTTCCTCTCTAAGTACTCTCCCATTTTTCTACTGTTGTATTGACTTTTCCACTATTGTATTTCTAATGCACCTCCTTAATCATTGAAGAGTTTCGAGGGATGTAAAATGTTGTAGCACCATTGTTAGAGGTCTTAAGGTTTCATAGCCACCAGCTTCACGGGACTTATTATCCAGACTTTCAAATGAATTCTCCTCTTCCCTCACAATCCCAAATAATAATCTTTACTCTGAGGAA